GACGATGAGCTGTTCACACATAAATTTCGAGTCCTCGCAGAAAGGCTCGCGTGATTTTTAGGAATTCTCATCTGAAGGAATGATTTTTTCAGGGATTTTGCGAGGTCATTGCTCCAGGATATGAGATGCCCCTGCACAGTGAACACAGTCCGCCGGAATTCCGAGTGAATTCTGGTGTTTCTAACGCTCCGGAATTCGGAAGAGCGTTCAAGTGTCCATTGGGAAGCCCCATGAATCCCGCGGACAAGTGCAGTATTTGGATTCAACCTATCACGCTTCCTGGATCATCGTGAAGACGAAATGCTTCATGGTTTTTTGCGTTTCAAAACATTTTGAAGTATTTCAACTATGTATAAATAAATGTATTGTATATACGTTTGATGGAATGTAATCGCCGATGAAATATATTTTTAAATGGAGAAAAACTTTGATGTTGACCAATCAGAGCGTTGCTCCGCCCACTGCGCCAGTGGTTCTCAACTCAATCATTTTCAAATGAGAAAAATTATCATTTTGAAATTTTCTCTCTATTACTCAAGACGTGATGATTGAAAATGGATCACATAAAAATGATAATTCGTGTTGTTCAGCGGGATTAATGCACGAGGGTGTAAGGTTGGACATCGTGCCAATATCTCGCGCGTTCCCAATCCCCTCAATTGGATTTGAGTAATGAAATTGTGGGCTTTCGAGACACTCAGGTGCGGGAGCCACGGGAATTCCAGATGCAGTTGGTCTCTGACCTTCTAACAAATGGAAACTTCCTTTCTGTCATCAATTCAATAAAAATATTTTTGTAATTTTATTTAACGATTTAAAAAAAATTTCCTTCGTGGAACATTTATTTGATAAATTTGAGATAATATTGATTTCATTTAGCATCAACAAGTATTCATTCTATTTCAATGATTTTTTAGAATCATTTTTCAAAAATTAAGAAAATTCTTCAAGTTGGAGAAATAGTTAAGATTAGGAATAATTATTTTGAGGTTTTTGTAAGAGATTTTAGTAAAAAAAATTGATGGAATTTGTTCACCTGTGGATTTGGTGTTGATCAAGAAAAATGACAAAGAAATTCGAGTTCAACTGGCAAATTGAGGTGCCAGAATTTTTGAGAACCGGTGCGACATTCGATCGTTGGTATGAAGACAAGGAAACTACTGAGTATGAGCCTGATGCTCTCTTCAAAGTCGACGAGTACGGATTTTTCATGTATTGGAAGAGTGGTCCCAAGGTAATTAATAAATCATACTTAAATTTAAAAATATTCTCGACTCAAATGAAACTCTCCCATTCTCCATTTTTTCATAAACCTGAAATTTTCATTGAGCAATCTAACTGGCACTTCATTCTGGCCCCATTATTTTCAAATTCTACCTAAAAGTAAAACTCGAAGCAAAAAAAAATTTGGAAGATTTTTTAGGATTTGTTTTTTCGACTAATTAATTTTTCGACTAGATAATTTATTAATTTTGTTCTTGAATTAAAAATTATTCTCTACTCAAAGAAAATTCTCCCATTCTCAATTTTTTCATGAATCTGAAACTTTTAGTAAAAAATCTGGCTGGCAATCCATTCTGGCCCGATAATTTTCAAATTCTACCGAAAAATAAAATTTGAAACCGAAAAAATTTTGAAGATTTTTTCGGATTTTTTTCGGCTATATAATGAGGCGAATATCGACACCAGGACCGGAAATTATTGAGTAGAAATTTTTTCGTTCATAAAGAAAAAATTGTGAAAAAAAAAATTTCAGGACGGAGATGTCATGGAATTGGCTCAGGTATGCGATATCCGTTATGGAGGAACCCCGAAAGATCCTAAATTGTGTAATAAACTGAGCAAACATGGAACCACGGAGCAATTGGATGCAAAAAGTCTCACCGTCTGCTCCGGCTTGGATTACACAAATATTCACTATGAGCACATTGTCCTCAGTAGTCCAGAACAGGCGAAGGTATCACCCCCCACCACATTTTCCAAAAAATGCAATAAAAAAGATAAAAAAGACAATCTATGAATGAATAAAGACCAAAAGTAGTGAATAAACCAATGAATAAATGAATAAATAAGTCAAAGCACGATGAAACATCGATATTTCGCAATTAACTGATCAATTCCTCCCGTTTAAGGAATGGCAATCAGGCTTACGACTAATCACGCACAATACTAAAGCCAGCAATGTCTGTCCGATGACTCAATTGATGAAGCAGTGAGTACTCTATCAAAGAAAAAGGAATTAGCCCTCTCTCTTACCTAGTCTCTCCCCCACTCCCCCGAGTCCGCGCGCTAACGCCTTGTCCCCTCCAGGACGCTCCAGTACATGCTAGCGAGCGGTCACTGCAAGAGGGTCAACGCCTCCCTTAAAATCGTAGAAAAATCACTTGTCATTCACTCGTCTTCGCTTGCCTTCGATCAATTGGTTAATTAAATAATTAATTAATGCTGAAATTTGCTCATTTGTCTGCAGCTGTGAATAATAGACGGATAATTTGACATTTTATGTTCAACCTTGTCCGAAAAATACTCATAATTTCCACGAAACAAATGATAATTTCAAGAGGAAATTACGATTTTCTTGCCGAAAACTGTGTTATTGGCAAGACTAAATAATTTCGAGGGGACAATTTTTTTTGGGGAATAAATATTTTTTCCTCGTCAATGTAGTGCCGCTTAGGATTTTGCCTTGAAGAAAATTATTCTTGATTCATTGTCTCCCACGTTTTCAGTTGGATGAGACTCTGTTTTTCTGTGGACCCGAAGGGAAAAGTCCCAGTCAAGGTCATCGCCAAGACTTTCGCCTCCGGAAAAACCGAGAAACTCGTCTACCAGTCACTGGCGGAGGAGGGGCTTCCGAACGGAAAAGCAAGTGGACCAAATTTTTTCTTCAGCTAATGAAATAGATATTTTTGTCGGGGTACAGAAAAATTATTCCGACAACTGTTAATATTTTTTTCTATCGTTGCAGAGCGATAAAATAGATGTGGAAGCATTCACCCTCGATAAATTCAAGTCCATGTACTTCAAATTGTGCCCTAGGAATGATATCGAGGAATTATTCACGAGCGTGTGAGTTTTGTTTGTGGAAAAATTGCAAATAAAGTATAATATTTTTCAACATTTCTGCTGTGTTCAGAACAGGGGGAAAGAATGAGATCAGTTTATCCCAACTCGTGAATTTCATGAACGAGAAACAAAGGGATCCGATGTTGAACGAGATTCTGTATCCCTTGTACGATGAAAAGAGATGTACGGAGATCATCAATGATTACGAGCCCGATGAGAAGTTGCGAACAGACAGTAACTATGAATTATTTATCAATGTCACTCACTCAGGGACTAGGACTCTCTGAGGATGCATAAAAAATATTATTAACGTCCCGACCCGAAGGGAGGAAGTTATTGTAATGACCCCGAAAATCGAAAGTGGAAATTTTATATTTCCACATTTCATTTTTTTTTTTCATTTTTCCTTGCCATATGTACCCTATTCCAGTTTTTACATATTTGCGGTTTCATGGGTCGACTTCCTCTCCAACCGTATCGCATTGTACCCCAGTAGCTGTACCCCACGTACAGACTCTCCCGAGTGGAAATTCTGTTCAGGTCTCGATCAGAAACTGATCAAGTCCGATCCGAAATTCTGATCAGGCATGTTACGCCTCTGCCACTAAGGAAAAACATAAGGCAGGCTCTCCTGGTGACCAAGGGAAACCATTAGAGATATGCGGGTAGTATCGAGAGTGAAAAGTATTCGGTACTTATGGTAATTTTCTATTGTACCGACCGTCGGTGTTGGGCTGTTAGGTGCGACAGGGGAAATCGGTCATGAGTGTTCTCTAAATCGGGGCAAATTGTGTCGGAGAAAAGGAATCGCCTGAAGTCGAAGAATGTCCAAAGCCTGATGTTCCCTAATGCTAACCTCCAGTTCATACCTTAATATGTTGAGACAAATAAGAAATACAATTTTATGATTGAAATCAAATATGGGTCGTAAAAATGATCATTCGTTTGTGCAGATTATTGTGCAAATATCTCTGAAACTCATGGGTTTAAAGGAAAATGTTGTAAGAGCTTCTTTGTAGAGCAGGGAATTCCAAACAAGAGATGTCTTCTAACATTTTCCTCTAAACCTCTTGCTTTTGAAGATATTCCATGAAAAATGTACACATCTGTTTCCAACATATCACACTTTATCTCTGGAGTGACGATTACATTTTTTACAATTTTTTTATCATGGATTATCATGATTGAATTGTCTGTCTGATTGTCGATAAGGTATAAAAAAATTAACGAATAACGAATACAAAACAACGAATACTTTCCAGTCCCGTAACGAATACTCTCCCGAAGACTTGAAAGTAACTAGACTGCACATCCCTAGAAACCATGGAAAACCTTGGTCGACACGGGCGTTCATCGACCGAGCTTCATCGGAGAGCGTTTTCCTAATACTTCTCCGATGATTCTCGGTGTTTAGACTTCCGTTTGACGATTTCCGAAAGATTAAAAAATCCCAATTGCCCCAAGCCGGACTCGAACCCGCGCCTCATGGGTCCCGCCGTCCGGCCGAGCGATTTAACCACTTCGGCCACCGGGTGCCTAAAAAATATCGATACCTACAATGACTTTTTACATTACTTTCGTTCCCAGAAAGAATGTCGAAGGATGGATTCATCAAGTACTTGATGAGCGACGAGAATGCCCCAGTATTCCTGGACAAACTCGAAGAGTGGATGGACATGGACCAACCCCTTTCCCACTACTACATCAACTCGAGTCACAACACCTACCTGAGCGGCCGTCAAATCGGTGGGAAAAGTACTGTCGAGATGTATCGACAAGTGTTGCTGGCAGGTTGCAGGTGACTTCGAAATTTTGGGGTCGCAAGTGACCCCAGTGGCTGGTCGGGGAAATTTCCGTCTTCGAGCCCTGGTCATAAGCCCATTTTGCCCCGTAATCTTCAGAGATAATCGAGAAACAAATTTCAAGGTCAAAACTGTCATCTTCGATAATTCGATAAGGAATGGGGCAAAAAGATTTCATGACCAGTGTTTGGAGATGGAAATCTTCCGATCTGTGAACTGGGGCAATTATCGACCCCCAATCACTGGATTTCGAATTTCAATGAAAATGGTTGCCATTGAAGATGCGTGGAGTTGGACTGTTGGGACGGAAAAGGAGAGGACGAAGAGCCGATAATAACTCATGGAAAAGCTATGTGCACTGACATCCTCTTCAAGGATGTCATTGTGGCATTGAGAGACTGCGCATTCGTCACCACTGACTACCCGGTGATTCTCAGTTTCGAGAATCACTGTTGTCTGAAGCAGCAGTATAAGCTGGCGAAATACTGCAATGATATTCTTGGGGACCTTCTGCTGACTGAACCACTGAAAGATTACCCAGTTAATAATCAAATTTAGTTTTTGGAATCCAACCCCTCTTTTTTTAACGATTGGGAGTCAACTTGAAACCGAGCGCATCTCAGAACTCTCGTATTGCATACGGTAGGTCGAGTGGGGGATGCGCAGCAGACTGCGCAGTAGCCTCACTAATGAATCGACTCAATTGTCGCGTTCGCGTTGTCGGGCTGGTGGGAAAATGTCAAGGTTTCGCATTATATCAATGAAAGGCGCCGGATAGGTTTCGGACATGTCGAAAGGCTCAAAAACTCCCATGTCATTTACTTAGTTTATGAGATGTCAGAAGCCATTTAATTTACCAGAGCTAATTTACTTTTCCAATCCTGCTCATAGAGAATAATTAATAAGGACCCAGAATTTTTCCGTGAATATTATAAGAATTAAATGTCTATTTAAATACACGTATCTATAATTCTATTATTTTTCACGAAAGATTTCCTATACTTTGCAGAGTAATATTTCTTTTTCTCAAATGACAAAACTTATGAAATTGCCTATTTATCGCCAGACCGCCAACGGTCAAAATTAGACGCCAAACGGATATTGAAAATCGTCCAATCTGGCAAATTGGAGACGATAGGATGAGTGGGGGGTGCGCAGCAGGCGGCGCAGTAGTCTCACTAGTGAATCGGCTCAATTATGATGTTCGCTTTGCCGGGCCGGTGGGGATACCGGAGGAGTTCACAATATTCTGAACTGAAAAATTGGCTATTTATTCACGGAATATATTTTTTTGAGTATCAAGAATATTCTAGAAGATAGTTTAAACAAGAGGGGTTGGATTTTTTACGTGCAGTAAATTCAATACAATTTCTCATAAATTTCATCAATAGTTGGAGCCAGGCTGCCCTCTACCTCCTCCCAGAGCCCTCAAGCGCAAAATTCTCATCAAGAACAAGCGCCTGAAACCGGAAGTGGAGAAAGTCGAGTTGGAGTTGTTCAAGTCCGGGCAGTTCGAGGCGAAGGATGAAGTGGTGGAGGACCCGAATGCCCCTGCTGAGGCACCACCAGCAGAAGCCGCAGCTCCACCGCCTGGCGAAGGCGGGGAGGGGGCACCGGGCGAGGGGGGAGACGCCGCCGTCGCGACGCCCTATGGCGGAAGTACTATGGCCTGTCATCCCTGGCTATCGTCAATGATTAATTACGCGCAGCCAATCAAGTTTCAAGGGTTTGACGTCGCTGAGAGTACGCATACCTCTTGAATTATATATTTTGTTAAATGGGGTCGATAAAGACCCCATTCCATGAATCGAAAAAATTGAAATCGATTGAAAATTATCGATTCATGGTTCGAGATATTTCGAGACAATTGAATAATAAAAATTTGATAAAAATCGTTTGATTTTCCATTTTTACAATTTTTGTTCATGAAATATTTCGATAGATCGCTCACGACTCCGTGAGGAGGAGCGATCTAAAATGGAAATTTGGAGGAAAACATTTTTTTTTCACATTCCAGAGAAAAATATTCATCACAACATGAGTTCATTCTCCGAGACAGCGGCTCTGAATTATCTAAAAACATCGGCAGTTGAATTTGTCAATTATAACAAACGTCAGATGAGTAGAATATATCCAAAGGGTACGAGAGCTGATTCATCGAATTACATGCCCCAGGTGTTCTGGAATGCTGGCTCACAGATGGTTGCATTGAACTTTCAAACGCCCGATTTACCCATGCAACTCAATCAGGGAAAATTTGAATTCAATGGAACAACTGGGTATTTGTTGAAGCCCGAGTTTATGAGGCGAGCCGATAAGACTTTTGATCCGTTCGCCGAGGGTGTGGACGGTGTCATTGCCGCTTCCTGCTCTGTGCAGGTATTACGCCCACTTTTTTTCGTCTAACGGTTTCTTTTTTTATTTTTCTTGCTGACAAAATGAAAAAAAAGGAAATGAACAATTTCGCTTTCAGCGCTTGTGCGTAAAGTGCGATTTTGCGCACGCGGAGCACGAGTGATAAAAAAATGGTGGTAATATTCTTTCTAATTATTTAAGGTCATAGCTGGCCAATTCTTGTCTGACAAGAAACTAGGCACCTACGTGGAAGTGGATATGTATGGTCTACCTGCAGATACAATCAAAAAGGAGTTTCGCACGCGTATGATACCGGCGAACGGTTTAAATCCGGTCTACAACGAAGAGCCATTTGTCTTCCGTAAAGTTGTACTGCCAGATCTAGCTGTACTTCGATTCGGTATGAAAATTTTTTTTTCGAAAAAAATGTCTTAAAAATATTTTTTGTCATTTTTTTTCAAAAAAAAGTTTTTTTTTTCAATGTTTTTTTTCGAAAAAAAATGGAAAAAAGTTTTCTTCAATTTTTTTTCGAAAAAAAAATTGCAAAAAAAAATTAAATTCGGATAAAAAATTTGAAAGAAAAATTTAATTCGGATAAAAAAATTCAGAAAAAAAATTGTTGAAAAAAAAAATTACGTAAAAAAAGGAAAAAAATTGAAAAAAAAAATTGTTTCAATGTCCAATTTGTGATAGGGGTCTACGACGAGAGTGGAAAACTCTTGGGTCAAAGGATCTTACCTCTGGACGGATTGCAAGCGGGATATCGTCACATATCTCTGAAGACCGAAGCCAACTTCCCGATGGCACTTCCCATGCTGTTCTGCAACATTGAAATCAAGATTTATGTTCCAGACGGCTTCGGAGGTAATCTCAACGTTCTTTATGTCTCGTTTCCACGATAATTTTTACTAAAATATAGGAGAAAACTGAGACAACCGAGTTACGGTATTTTCACTAGGTGCGTTATGTATTTTGTGAATGGGTTTGTTAGAGTTTATAATGTTTCAATGTTCTCATCATCCCATCCACCAAATAATGACTTTTGGGAACGTCTAGATCGCCGAAAAAACGGTTATCAGAGAATAAAATCGATTAAACGATCGGAATGTTATCTAGACTTTATGGCGATGCTGTCGGATCCCGGTGGCTTCGCAAAAGCGGCTGAGAAGCAAGCGGAGAACATGAAGAATCTCGGTATTCAGCAGACCGAGCAGAAGAAGAAGGAGGAGGGGCCCAAATGGGGTAAGATATCCCACTTATCGTTTAATACATCAGCGGTAATTAAATGTAATCGTTCAATCAATTACACCAGAGGAATTCAAACCCGAGCCAATTACTCTGGATTCATTGAGGCGTGAAAAGGCATACAAATTCAGTAAAAAACAGTGCAAGGAGTTGGATACCATGAGGAAGAAGCATAAGAAGGAGAAGGAGACTATGTTAAAGGCCCATTGTGCTGCAATGGAAAAGTTGACGAAAGGAAAAGAGTAATTATCAGTTATGTTCTTGCGATAGGAATTTAATCATCTGTCTAAATTAATTCTCCATTTTGAATTCTCTTTAAAAAAACCATAGGGGAGGGTGGGGTAAAATGGACACTTTAGACTTTTTTAAAATTATTCATAACTCAGAAATAAATTGATCAATTGAGCATAGTTTAGGCTCGTCACAAAGGGAAAAAATTGCTCTTTATATTGGAGGAAAAATTATTGAATTTTATCAACATTTCAACACCTCATTAACATTTAAAAAAAAGTCAAAAGTGTCCGTTTTACCCCAACCTCCCCTACGGAAATATATATATATTCTGAAAATTGTATATTTTATGAATGGAATTGGCCTATAATATATTATATAATAATATATATGATGATATATTATTCCGTATTAATATACGAAAATATACAAACTAAATGTACTTATTATATTTATTTATTTTTTATTGTATTATCATATTATATATTATTATATAATATATTATACTATATATACAATATATTATAATATGAATTATAATCTATTATATGATAATTTTCGATATGAATAATCAGAAAATTTATATATGGATTCAATTATTATATTATAATATATTACTATAATATAATAATAAATTTTCTGGTTATTTATATTGACAATAATCCCGGTTCCCCTCCTACCTCATCCAAATCCCATCCAATAATTTCCTATGACGTCACAAAGATGTGGAACGCTATATAAATTCCCTTCTTTAATGTAAAAATACATTAATTATGTAATATATTAGTATACAATATATTTTTTATATATTTTTCCATGGGGGAAGAATGTAACGTTTTCTATCGGTAATCTAACCCGCCGGGCTACACTTGGGATTATTTCTGTCCTAAACTTGAATATCTTATATGTTTAATGATAAAATATTTTTAAAAATAATATTTAAAAAATTAAAATATATCTACGAATAAAAAAAATGGTAAATTTTTTTTTTTCCAGTAAAAATGCGATATTGGCAGACGCAAACGTGAAGAAAGTCGTAAAAGAACAGACTCAGCAATGGTCGGAGTTAATGGGAAAGCACAGGAAAGAAGAGTGGGAAATGCACAAGGCGCATATTAACGCTGGTAAAGACGAATTCAAGAAGGCTATGGAGGCTGTGCAAGCTGCGCAGTTGAAACAATTGCAGATTAAACAAGACAAGTGATTATCGTCGCTAATTATTATCTATTTAAAAAAAAAGAATAATTACTGGAAAAATTAATTATTTGCCACAACTCAATTTTGGATTACCCTTTGTAAAGAAAAACCTTGGGCAACAGCTCGAACGAATGGAGAACGTAAGGCGGTTTTCACGAGTGCAATCGTCTTGCGTCGAATTTTCATGAAGCCCGCCAAGCAAACAAAAGAGAATTGAATGCCATTCTATGAATCATGAATAAACGAATCATAATTGTCCAAATAATGTAGGTCAGAGGAAAATAGAATAATTCTACTTTCTTAATGTTGCGTTTACTAAGGTTTTCTTCGAACAAATTTGATCAGAATTAATAGCTAGAATTATGAGATAATCTCACATTTTTGACGTTAAGGATAGGAGAATGTGAATGCAATATAGTGAAAATGATGATCGATTTTTTCACTTTGAATAAATAATATTAATATCCAAATGCAAAATTTATTATATGAATAAAAGGAAGCTGTGACTCAATATTCCAAATGAAGTTTTAATTTTCAATTTGGAGCTGAAAACACGAGATGACAGTATTCTAAGCACGGAATTATATTGATGAGATGAACAACAGATTAATTGAATTACCGTGTGAACAAACTAAAAATTGATAACAGTGTGGGTACGCACTTTTACCATCAACAAACATTGAATTGAATTGTAATTATGATTAAAATCTTATTCAGTGAGCAGAGGAATTAGAACATGAGCAAATAATTTATTGTAATGTGAAAATTTAACAGCTGAAAAATTGGGACACATGATTCTCATCGGTCGTATTGCTTTTTGCAATGAGAATGATTATAAACAATCAATTGAAAAAATGGAAATTCATCACCATTAAAAATCACAGAAATAATGGAAAAAATCGCTGGAGCCAGCCCCTCGAGTCCTAGAGACACTCATTCCCAACACAAATCATCTTCATTTTATTTCTTCCAGGGATTCCAAGGAGCTGAACGCAAATCAAGCGAAGGTGAATGCCGAGACAGCGAAAGACGTCGCCAACGACAAAGCATTGAAGACAAAGGGTGACAAGGAGCGTAGACTCCGTGAGAAGAAGCAGAATAACATAAAGAAATTCACCGAGGAGCGAAAAACTTTGGGGATCAGACAGGATCGCGAATCGAGTAAAATAAAGACACTGCACGAAAAACAACTGGCGGATTTGGACAAGACCATAGAGAATACTTTGGAAATGTACAATCAAGCCGCCATGAACTACGAGATATCATCAAAGTGCGAGTTTATGGTGTAAACACGATCGATGAGCGAATTTATTTGAATTATTTGAACCCAATGATTCACGTTTTCCTGAATATCTAGGGATCTTGATCTGCTAGGGGATTGAGTCAAGATTTGCGCGAGCGCGAGGAAAATTTCCGATCCGAAACCCTGGTCACAAGCCCTTCCATTCCCACAAATGGTTTAGTTACGATCAAATAACATAACATTTAAAGTAGCTCTACCCTGACGGTAAATTCAAAGATTATTGAAAACTGCAAGAAAATTGCAGAAAACTCGATTAGATTCAGAATTCTAATTTTTTTCTCAATTTAATTATCGTTTTGGTTTTTTAATGAAGAAATCAGTAGCGAAGCGGTAAACCGGGTTAAATCGATGTTGATTTTTGGCGAGTTTTTGATGAATATCTTGGAATCTAAGAGAGACAGAAAATTTTTTCTCATGACCTTATTTATAACCCGCAAGTGGCGCTACAAAAAAGGTAATGACAAAAATTTTTCTATCTCTTTTAGATTCTGAGATATTCGTCAATAACTGACCAGTAGTCAAATTCGACTTAACCCGGTTTACCGCTTCGCTACTGAAATGTTTAAAAATCAGGATTTAACCTAGTGTCTTATGTGAAAATCAACATTGCCATTGTAATCAAAGATTAAAATCTGAATTTTTTTTTCATTAGATGTGAAAAAATCAAGAATTTTTTTGACACATAAAAAATAATCCACCGCTTTGCAAACAAGTTCTATTATTTATTTATAAGAGGGAAATGTTTCGGGATTTCCGGGACAGTTCCGTAAAATTTCCTACAACCACATTTCGCTTCGGAATTACGGAAAAGACGTAATTTTTATTGAATATTTCTCCGTGTAGTTGAAAAATTTAAAAACTGAAAATATCCAAAAGTACAGGGTAGCCCGGCCGAAGGGTAGAGCTACGTTAAGATTTTTATTCAACGTGACTAGGGTAAGTTACCCAGTAGATGGACACTGCCCGATAGATGGACGAGCTACTTTTGGATAGGAAATTACGCAAAAAAACACTGAAATGTGAATTGTTGCTTTGAATTTTCACTGACTGTTGTGATTCTTAACCCCTGAGTGACGATTTTTTTTTCGATCAATTTTTTTTTTCATTTGCTAAAAAACAAACGTCCATCTACTGGGCGGTTTTCTTAGGCGTCCATCTACTGGGCAGTTTACCCTATTTGTACAATGTGTATTTACAACGTCTTATTACATTTTCATTTGTCGCAGCCTCAGCCCGCAGGCTTTCACATGCATAGGGGAAGGTAGGGTAAAATGGACACTTTTGACTTTTTTAAAAATATTCATGACGTGTTGAATTGTTCATGAAATGGAATAATTTTATTTTTCAATTGAAAAACAATGATTCCTCTTTGTGATGAGCTTAGACTGAGCTCAATTGATGAATCTATCTCTAAGTTATGAATATTTTTATAAAAGTCAAAAGTGTCCATTTTACCCCACAATCCCCTATATATATGAAGTTTATGGTCGATCTCTAACATGGACTTATATGATTTGAAGCTGAGGCTATGAGTTAGGGAAAAGCGATAGAAAAACCCTAAGATACGATCAAATGCAATTTCAGAGCTTCAAATGTGGACTTCGATTTATCGCAACCACTGATCGATAAAAATCGACTTCTCACCAGTGTCTGGAATCGGAAATCTCCCTCGCTATCGATCAAGACAAGAGATGCAAATGCATCACATGACCCGTCATATGAAAAAATGACAGTCATTTTTCATCTATATAGATGAAACTTAATTTTTTTCTCGGTCAATTTTCAGTTGAATTCCTTTTGTATTGACCTAATCCGCATTTTGAAATGGGAATCACGTTTTTTTCCATCCATATAGATGAAACTATTTTGTTTTATTCATGACCGTCAAAAATTGGAAATTAGTTATGACCGTCATTATGCAACTATACAGATGGTTTGACAACAATTTGGTTACAAATGATTTGTGACAATCATTTGTAGTTGGAAAATCTGTGCGTCACATGACCGTCATTTTTTGGTCATATGACGCGATCTAAAAAATGACGGTCATTTTGCATCTATAATCAAGACCACCCCCAGCCCTGCATACCCCGCAGTTCCCGAGATACCCCGAGAAATGTGAAAGAAAGCCAGAAATAGAAATTCTCACATGTTTCCAATTTATTATAACCGATCCCTCGATCCGACTCACGACTCATGTTAATCAACTGTTTTAAAATACTTCATTCGGTTCCGCATAGAACTGATTGGTCTCCTACCAATGTAATAATAAAGAAAATCAAACAATGATTAATTCGTGTCTAACTCAATCATCAAATACCGAGTGTTTCCACTCAAAAATCTCAACTTGTCACGATTATTTCCACTTGCATGTCTTTCCCGCTCATCACTATTTTTTTTTTCTTTTAACGAAACCGATGAGTCACGGAGTCCCTCGAGTGTGCGGGTCTTCCAGTGTAGTTTATCCTTCGGGGGCATCCCCTCTCCACGTGATTTCCACTTGTATCCGTTTCTCCCACTCCTGAGAAGGAGGAAAAGGTTCCGCTGGGACTGGAAGGCTGTACCTTTTTCACCACCTCTTCGCCGGCTCATCTCCACGAGTCCCGGGGGTCTCTCAGTTCGGCGCGAACTGTCCGACGGATTGCACGTGTCATTCGTCGGACCAAAACGTAAATAACACGTGCGAGGAGAAAAATCATTCGAAATATTTCGCTATCGCTTCTTTATTACTTCAATAATTTGCGAGCAAATCGTCTAGTGAGGAACTTATTACAATTTATATGTTCTACTACTATGTAATGATAAATTGCCAACAATTACAATTATTAATAATTATTGATAATAATTATTAACAATTATTATTATTAATAATAATGGTTATCAATAATTAGTCATTTTAATTGTTGACAATTTATTATTATTAATGATTAATTAGTTATTATTAATTGTTAATTTATTATTATTATTTTTATTGTCAATTTACAATTTATCATTACATCGTAGTAAATCATTACATAGTAGTAGGTTTTTTCCTCATTTCAAGCTACACTGTTAGAAATTTCCTGAAATTTCACACGGAGAGAAATAATTAATAAAAATGACGTATCTTTTCTGTAATTCCGGAGCGAAATGTGGTTGTAGGCAATTTTACGGAAGTCACGGACTTTTTCCGGAGCGTTCCGTAATTTTTATCTGAATCTCCTGTGAAAAATTACGATACCGTCACTTGAATTTTCTGAGTCGATTCCGTAATCGGTGAGTGAATTGTGAGTTCCGTAATTTTTACTGAACATTTCTCTCCGTGCAGTCACAGCTTCATCTGAATTCTCAATGTTGTAAGTTCGAATTTAATTTCCAATGCAAATGTTCATAAAATTCCTCATTCACCTTGAAAATTCAAGAAAATTCGGTTTTTCACGTTAAGCGATCATTGATGTTTCAATGAAAGCTTGAATTTTCAAACTCACTGTGAAAATTAAATATCAAATGCAGCAGAATTTTTACTAGATCGAGAATTCAGGAGAATTTTCGCCTGAATTTTCCCAATTTCCAACATTTTTCAGTGCCGCGTCGATCTGGAAATCGAGAATTACTTGAATATTCAAGAAATTAAGTGATTCCTCAGTAAAGAATATGCAAAAATTTCATGTAACTTTGTTGTTAAAAATTTGCACACAATATGAGGGCGACTTTTTTAGAGATGTGGGAATTTTATTGGGAGTTGGTGATGTCATGGTACATCTGACGGAAGCAAAAAGGTGTTACTGATCCAAACAATTAATTGCTAGGCGGGGGATCAGAGGACTGACCCCATGGGGTCAGTTGGCCACTGGAGATATTGCGGGCGATGATGTTCAGTGGCAGTCACAGTTTCATTGAAAAAAATGTTCTATTCATAAAATTTGATAGTGGAAGAATCCTCTACTTTTTCCTAGAATTTTCTCAAACAAATTTAAATCTTCAAATAATTTTTTCAACTAAAAAATAATTGTTAATATCTGCTGTTCAAATGTTTTTTATCGCGTAAAAATAACAGAAAAAAATATTTCAAACTCTCCAAATTTGTTTATAAAAAATTGATCAATTTGCAAAAAGAAAATTTTTCATTTTTTTTCGGTTTTCAGGGTTTAAAGAAGAGAAATAAAATTCATAGAATAAATGTTTGTAGTGTGGATTACAGTGTAACATATGTAGGTGCATTGAAGTGCAACGAGAACGTGTAAATGAAGACACTGAAAGTAATAAAAAATGAGATCGCGTGGTGCATTAACTCGCGGACAATTAGATTTAAAATGTGGAATTATTTAAACCTGTTCAGGGTATTACCAGACGTCTCGAGGATGCCCTAGAACGCGTGACACTCTTCGCACGGGTCACACGTTGTTTAAAAAAATTAGAGCAATTTAAAAAATTATTTTCAAATCGTTTCCACCATTTTTCATAACAAAAAACCACTAAAAATCACGCTCGTTAATTTTTTTTGCAATAAAAAAATTACAGACACATTTTTAACAATAAAAAAAAATGTTCCTGATTCTAGAAATAAATCCAACAATTGGAAATTAATTTTCATTAAATGTAGACGAAATAAAAAATAAAAATAAGTGTTTTGTGATATTCTTCAATGACATAGGAGTTTTCAACGACTAAAAAAAAGTTCTGAAAAAGTTATTGAAGAAGATAAAAGATTGGTCTTCGGTGAAATAGTGGAATGTGAAAATATTTTTTAAAAAATTATTATTTATAATAGTTACTCATGAATAATTTTTTTATTATTACTTACAAATTATTGTTAAAAAATGAGAGTAATTTTGAATTGATAAAACTGTCGAATTGTGCGTGGATAATGGGGTTGTGCGAGACCGTAGCTTTTTTGAGGCTGCTGCCCACATCCGGTTATCACATTGTGTGGACATGGGACGCCGGAAATGGAACAATGATCAGGACGACGACGAGTGCCTCATCGGGATCGGATTGCTTCGTTGAGTTGGTGAATCTCGTTGTCGTGATCATCTCGCTGATCGCGGCATTGTTGTTTATCATCAACTATCGATTGACGTATCAGCGGAAGTAAGTGAATTTAATCGCAGAATTTAATGTAGTGCATTTTGTTTCAGTTCCAGTTTATTTATCAAGATTTGAGACAAAAGCCCGTCAGTATACGAGAGAAGTATACAAATCTCTCTGTATTATAAAAATCCAAATCGACTTCTGGTGATGAAAATAAGGGTTACGAGGGGCAAATAATGGTCAGAAGGGTCAGAACGTGGGTCGTAAGGGTCAGAATAAGGGTCACGATGGTCAGAGTAAGGGTCGCGAAGAGAAAATAATGGTCAGGTGGGTCAGAATGCGGGTTCTAAGGGTCGTAAGGTCAGAATAAGGGTCACGATGGTCAGAGTAAGGCTCGCGAGGGGAAAATAATGGTCATGTGGGTCAGAATGCGGGTCATAAGGGTCAGAATAAGGGTCACGAGGTTCAGAATAAGGTTACGAGACACAGAGTAAAGGCCACAAGGGTCAGATGGATCAAAATAATGGTCAGTAGGGTCAGAATGAGGGTTATAAAGGTCATAAGGGTCAGAATTAGGGTCATGAGGATCAGGGTAAACACCCCGAGGGTCGGTAAACGCCCCGAGGGTCAGCTTAAGGGTCACGGGGGTCAGATTAAGAATCATGAGGGTTAGAATAAGGGCCACGAGGGTCACGCGGAGCGTGCGTAAAATTTCACTTTGCGCACAAGTGATCAAAATCAATAATTTAAATCCAGAAAATTCTCTAGAAAAAGAAGATCTTCAAAATTTCGGAGCTGAGCATAAATATCCCGTAAAATATCGGAAAAATATCTCAACAAAACGCAATGTCTCAGTCAGCATAGCGCATAATTCAAAATTATATAAATTCAAACCCGTTAATTCCTCAGTTGCGTCACCCACGCATTCCACCAATGTCGATTGATCGCGCTTAAACCCCCGGGATTCCCAAGGGGCCTCAAACATCTGTTTAAGATGCAAGAGAGCGCGTGACTCAGACCACACGTTGCGGCTGAGTACAAACAAACCTCCACTCATGTCTGACGACTTTATTCAAAAATGACCCAAAGTGATGACTGCGCTCATTCATTTTTTTTTTCCAACCACTCGGTGTCGAGGAACCACTAACTACGGACACGTGTACATCTCCCAGGACAGTCCGACGAATGTACCAGCGGACGGGGGAAAAAATTGTTTCATTATCTCTTCAAGTACTCGAGATATTCGAGAAACGAGTTTTTCAGGGTGAAAACTTGTTTTCAGAGGATCTCCTCATTTTTAATGGCAAAAGTGTTTTATCACGTGGGTTTTCGCACTCTGCTATCTTAGTTTATGCCCAATGATTTTTTATCTTGTAGCTCGTCAGATCTACGATTTATTTATAGATGAATTTACAAAATCGCCATTTTTTTGTGGCGAAAAAATGAAAACAAGGGGGAAACTTATTTTGTCTTTAAATAGCATAGATATTGTTTATGATAAACTACTACTATAATAATAATTCATGCATTCAGAAAATCTGTGGGTACATCGAAGTAGAAAATGAGAATAGAAGCAAAAATAAGCAGATAATGGAATTTTGTTATAAATTTGCTTTCGAATCAATTTTCCTTTCTTAAATTCTTATTTCACAATTCTCTTCTTCTATTTTTTCATGTCATAGTTCTATCATCAATTGAAACATCATCAAAATTTTTGCGTATTATTTTGTTCTGTCAAATGATTCTACATTCAGACCCTCTCAAAACTCGAATTCGTTTTCAGTCCGAGTTTAATTGAGGTTCAATCAAGGTTTAATCAGTGTATAGCCGGGATTTAATCAGGGTTTATTCAGCATTTAGCCAGAGTTTAACCCAGGTTCTGTCAGAAGTTAGTCGGGACCATGAATCAATGTGAATAAGTATTCAACATAATAGACTGGTACCTGAGTTTAATAGAGATAGAGATTTTTATATAAAAAGCTCATGACGATATTGTGTAACTTGATAAGCAATGATGCTGTTCTCACCATTTTTCAACTTGATTAAGAAGCCATTGAAATATACTTTTCAAGCCCTGATTTAATTGCTATTACTGATGATTCTTTCAGTAATCATGAAAACCCGATTTTATCTTTCAAATCGCATAAACAATGTGCTGTAACTCAACAACGAATTGTGCGAGCCCCATCATTTCTGATAGAATCAAAAGGGTATTGTTATCAATTTTTTGAGCCATCACTAATTCCATTATGATGACAATTTTTTGAGTGATCGTTGAAAAATCTATTTTTGGAAAAATATCAATTTTTTCGAATCTATGAAAAATTCAATTCTGATTGGGGTCAATGAATAGAGCTTATTAAAGTCTATATTGATGGAAAAATTCGTGAAATTCAATTGATCCGTTTTAAGAAAATTTCGAAAAAAACAAAGAAAACAGGCCTTATTTAGTTACATTAACACAAAAAATTGGAAATTTAAATTTGAGCGGTTAAAAAGCTTCCATTCCCAATCAAAAATATTATATAAATATTTAATTTGAAAAATTTCAACAGATGCACAAGTAATCTACTGCCCCTGCACAATGTCCGGAGTGTCCTCTGCCTCCTCCTCCTCCTCTTCCTGACGCTGGAATTATCCGAGGGCTTAATAACACATTCATGGCTGCCCCCGTCGATCAGTCTTGTAACAATAATCATCTGTTGGTTTTTACACCGTGCCACTGAGATTCGTGATGGCCTGGGTCTGGCTGTGTCTGGTGGTGCATTCAGCACTATTGCTGTCGCCAGATTATGGAGATTAATTCATTTAAATAGTTTGGAACTGGACCTGGGGCATGTGAGGACAATTAGCACATTGGGAACAGCGACTGCTTGTGGGGTTTTGGCGGTTGTTGACATCTACGCGCTCTACCGCATCGTAAGTTATTTTTCATTGAGGGGAGATGGGAAAAATTGTGGGGAAAAAAATCATCGTTACTGATCCATTTTGCCCCAGTATTTTAAGATTTATGATGGAAGAAAGAAAAGTTTTTTTTTAATGGATGATTCGTCCCCAAGACTTCATCTGGGTGCAAGAAGAACAAGTGGACAATTGCATTTTTTAATAAATGAGTAGTTATTGCTTTTTTAATTCCCATTTCACAATTCTCTTCTTCTATTTTTTCATGTCATAGCACTATCATCAATTGAAATGTCATCAAAATTTTGCGTATTATTTCGTTCTGTCAAATAATTCTACGTTCAGACCCTCTCGAGACTCGAATTGGTTTTCATTCCGGGTTTAATCGAGGTTCAATCAAGGTTTAATCAGTGTATAGCCGGGATTTAATCAGGGTTTATTCAGGATTTAGCCAGAGTTTGACCCAGGTTCTGTCAGAAGTTAGTCGGGACCATGAATCAATATGAATAAGTATTCAACATAATAGACTGGTACCTGAGTTTAATAGAGATAGAGATTTTTACATAAAAAGCTCATGACGGTATTGTGTAACTTGATAAGCAATGATGCTGTTCTCACCATTTTTCAACTTGATTAAGAAGCCATTGAAATATACTTTTCAAGCCCTGATTTAATTGCTATTACTGATGATTCTTTCAGTAATCATGAAAAAATCGATTTTCTCTTTCAAATCGCATAAACAATGTGCTGTAACTCAACAACGAATTGTGCGACCCCATCATATTCTGATAGAATCAAGAGGGTATTATCAATTTTTTGAGCCATCACTAATTCCATTTTGATGACAATTTTTTGAGTGATCGTTGAAAAATCGGTTTTTGGAAAAATATCCATTTTTTCGAATCTGTATGAAAAATTGAATGTTAATTGGTGTCAATAAATAGAGCTTACTAAAGTCTATATTCATGAAAAAATTCATGAGACTCGATTGATCATTTAAAGAACACTTTTCAGTCAAAGAACACTTTTCCCACAAGTGTCGAACCCCATTTTTTGTCACGAAAAATTTTCTCCGCTCCCCCTACGAAGCAAAGATAATGAGAAAGATGTAAAATTTAAGGCCGGGAAGAGGCGCAAGGAGGGGAGAGGAGGCGTGAGTTATGCTTCTCCAAACAGCAGATGCAATAACAAACAGTGATGAATAAATCTTACGGTACGTCTGGATTTTACAGATGGAGAGGAGCAAGCGATACGATATTCGTGGATCCGGAAATACACGTGCATCTTACAGGCATTCACAGTCGGTTCTACTGAGTAAACTGACTTTCCACTGGGTCGTTGGGATTCTTTTACGTGGGTACAGGGCAACACTTGAACTCAATGATCTTGGGGATCTACCCGAGGAGGAATCAACCGTTATACAATTTGAGAAGTTTCGGAGAATTTATGAGGACCAAAGAGTAATTTGAGAATCGTCTTTAGTTGTAGCAATAATTATTTTATTATCGTAATTGAGTGGTTTATTTTCATGCCCTGACGATGATGAGGAGGTAGGAGATTGAGACCGATTTTATTGGAGAGCCGGGGAAATTTTCACAAGTGTCATGGAGTTTGTGTTTTATTTAGATAACAGGAGGTTGATTTACAAAATAGAATGCACGCTAATTGTAGGAAGAAGCGAGCAGTGAACAACCCTATATCTTGAGTATTGCGGTGACCTATTAACTACGTCCAGTTGACCATCTTGAAATTTCGCGAGGGTTGATGTTATTTATCAATGAATTTAAATGACTTTTAAGTTTCACTTCTAAATTGTCTGCAATGCGATTCATGAAGTCATGGATCATTTCTGTGTTGGATCTAATGTGGAGGGAGGAGATAGGGGTGCCATAGTAGGCATTATCAATCACACGGAGAAATTTGTTTCGAGTAACTTGGAATTTGGCGATGTGGGTGGGGGCTGCATTGTGCCGGACGGAGCACCCATAGGTTATTACCGGCCTGACTAATGCCTTGTACAATTTGAGTTTAGCTTGAGTCGACAGGAATTTGTTTTTAAATAGGTAGTAGAGCCTACCCACGATGGCTTTTGCTTTTTCATTCGCGATGTTAATGTGTGTGCACCATCAGAGCTTTTTTGTGAAGGGTGAATTCGAGGTGTTGTGATTCCTAGAATCAATGATTTCCTGTGATTTCTTGCATGATTTCTCAATCAGAATTGAACCTCACGATTTCTCTTGATTTCTC